TTTCTTTAGCTGAATTCGTGTATGCATGTAGTAAGTTGGTTGGCAGGTAGGTAGGTGGTGGTGGTGGTAGTATGCATAAGAAAGGGGGATTCGGGGGCTGGCTGGCTGGCTAACTGGCTACAGCTGTGTTTTTTGTTCGTGTTTGTTGATTAGCTGGATAGCTGGATAGCTGTCTGTCTATACTAAACAGCAGTAGGTATACAGTAGAATGAAAGAGGAACATCCCCAAAAGATAAAAAAGAAATAGAAGAAAATAAGGAAGCTTGCATGATCACTTCCTCTCTCAACACGATAATAATCTATCTAAACTAACTATATGATTTTAACTACTTAAGTCTATCTACCAAATGGTACAAGATGCATACTCGTTCCATCATAAAATAATAAAAGAAAAGAAAAGAAAGACAGAAAAAAAAACAAACAAACAGACAATCCATTATGCATCGTTATGCATCGCTTCATTTGTCCCTTCTCTTTGTACCTGTACTTGGACCCATTTCCTCCTCTTGTGTGTGGATGATATGGAAGGAATCAAGTCCCTCCTGGGATGCGGGTGCTGTCTTCCTACATTCCATTCCACATCGTACCAAACCAGGTAAAAACAATCACCGGGACCTGCGAACCCGCGGACCTTCGCTCTATGCAATCAATCGTGCCAGAAGGAAATCAAATCCGCATCAACAGAATGAATTTCAGGAAGAAGAAAGAAAACACGCCATGATGAAAAACAAATAAAATCAAGAGATTCGTTAAGTGGTCACTTCATTTTCCATCCAATAGAGTTAAAAAAAGATGGCCAAGATGGGTAAAAGGGGGTGAAAGGTAGGTTTGATGTTTGAATATGAGATACGGATACGGATATTGGGTGAAGTGAAAGGGAAAGAATAAAAAAAGAAAAACAATTTTTAATGCGCCTTTCGCCATGGATTTTGTCATCACAAACCACTTAACAAATGCCGGATATAGATCTAAACCTGGTATACAGAACGGAGTTTCTGAGCAACGTTGGGCGGGAGTTGCGAGAGGAAAGAATCGAAGTTGGGTATCATGTTTCTGTAGCCTTGCAGCACCTAGTCCACAGTTAGCACGAGTCTTGCATGCAGAGGGCGATATAAACTTACCTGCTGGAATGAGCTCTGAATGTCACGGTAGTCCTCGGTGTTGAGCGACTTGCTCGGGAACGAGGCAATGGCCTGGAAATAATCACCCAAGCTGGATTCCATCGCCTGGGGGTTCTTCATGACCACCTGGTTGAAACCCAAAAAGGCCGAGGCTTTCTCCCGGGTGAAATCGATCTTGCCCATCGACTTCAGGAACACGCTGGCGTACTCGCCCAGGCGCGGAGCCAGCTGATCGGAGCAGCACATGCCCAGGCGGCCCAAAGCCATCGCGGCGTTCTCATTGACCGAGTCGATGATCTCTTCGTTGTTGAGAATAACGACCAACCCCTGGTAGAGCTTATCCAGGTACGGGGATAGCGAGGCCTTCTCGTTGACCGAGTTGACTGCGATCTCTCCGCACGACCAGCATGCATTGTTCAGCACGCTGAACCCGGTGTACCGCTCGTCGTCCCGGATCAGGTCCAAGTCAAGCTGCTTGATCAGGGTGGGCAGGATGCTGGGAATGAAGGATTCGAGTTGAGGGTAGATGTTGATGGCACAGTCGCCCAAGAGAGCGTACGACGACTGGCGGACTTCGTAGTTCGGGTCCTCCATACAGAAGCAGAGCAGATCGAAGAAGCGGGGTTGCGAGTTAGCCACCAGCTCGCCGCTCTTCTGGGGGTCGATGGCCTGGATAATTGCGCTCAGCAGGTCCAGACTGGTGACCAGGAAATCCTTGTCGGGCTCGTCGATGCCCTGGTTGTTGACGGAGGCGACGTATTCCTGCAGGTTCTCGAAGATGATCTTGGTGCACCGCTGGAAAAGCGGGGGCGCAAAGGGGGCGAACGCGTCGCCGTACGCCGCGGCGATGTACCCCAGACACTCGAGCAGGGGGAACAGCTCGCGGGACTGGTCGGAAACCTTGTTGTAGCGGTCGATCAGTGAGGGCATGAGAATGTCCACCAGGTTGGGCTTCGCCAGTTCGCCCATCACGCACTCGGCCAGGGTCTGGACGCAGTCGTACAGAATGTACATGTTGCGGTCCTTGTACTTGCCGAAGCACTGCACGAACTGGCGCAGAATGGGCTCGCAGTAGGGCACCAGGTTGGCGTCGGATTTCTCCTCGAGACTGGCGAACGCGGAGGCTGCCGCCTCCTGAACCTTCTTGTTGTTGTCCAGCATGCGACGCAGGATGCCCTCCATCATCGGCTCGAAGAAGTTGGCACGCTCCGTGGGGCTGCCCAGATGCGAGGCCCACTCGGAGTACCGACCCAAGCACCAGCAAGTGATCTGTCGGACCACCGGTTGCTGGTCGTTGAGGAGCGAGATGAGATAGGGGACGAGTTCGGGCAGGTGGGGGGTGACGGCATCCATGCACCCGTCGGCGACGGCGCCCAAAGTGAGGACGGCGGCCTCGCGCTGGGGCCACTGCTCGTGGCGCAGGGTTTCCATCAGATAGGGCAGGATGATCTCGAAGATCGGATGGTGGTAGACGTTGGAGAAGACGTCCAGCGCGGCCGCGGAGCACTTGCGCAACGTCCATTCGTCCTCCGGATCGTCGCCGAATTCGGAATCCTCGATTTCCCCCTCGCTGAGGTCGTCGTCGTCATCGTTCTCGACGGGCGCATCGCCGTTGGCCTGTCCGTCGGGCTTCGACGAGTCCAGGCGCGACCCCTTGGATTTGGCAAATTGTGGCCGCAGGTCCTCGGCGCGGTCCTCCACCTCGGCATCGTCTCCTTCCCCGGCCAAGCGAATGGCGTCGTCCTCGTCGTAGACCATACTCTGAAGCAGTACGGGGACGATCTTGGACATGTGTGGGGCCAACGATTGCTGCAGCTTGATCTGCTCTCCCGCCACGAGCCAGAACTCGGCGGCGTCGAGGGCGAGCTCAGGATCTTCCCGGTTGCTTTGTTGCAGGATGATGTAGTTGACCAGGCCTTCCATGTGCGGCACGAGCTTCTCGGGGGCGAAATCCACGAGTTGGGCGAAGGTCAGGCAGACGGTGCGGCGGACATCGGTATTCGAATCGTTGGACAGTTGGAACAGCTGCGACAGGAACAGGTCCATCGAGGCCACCAAGGCCTGGGGGCGGTGGGGGAGGAAGATGTGGATGGTTTTGAGGGCCGTGGCGCGCACGTTGGCGCTCTGGTTCGAGGTGAACTCCAGCAGCTTGGGAATGATCACATCGAGCGGACACTGGCCCTGATAGTCGCGCTCGAGGACCTTCCGGTTGTCCTCGCAGACCTTGGCGAGGGCCGACATGGCGGCCTCCTGCGCCAGGGGCGGGGTGTCCCTCGACGAGTTGTCCACGAGGCCCAGGAGCTCGTGGAGGACTTCGGGCCACGCCAGCAGACCCGCTTGCTGGACCAGCTCTGTGATGATGCTTCCGGCCGAGTTCCGCACCTGGAAGTTCTCGTCGCGGAGACCGGCCAGGGTGGCCGACCGAATGTACGACAGACACGGTTGGGCGACGGTGTTGTAGGCCACGCGGATCTTCGTCTTCAGGTTCATGGCGGCGGCGAAACGAACCATGTTCCAGGTCTCATCGTCGAAACCCACCACGGAGGGGGCCTGCGGCGTGCTGAACAGATAGGTGATGTAGTTGACATAGTCGGGCGAGGAGGTTGCTTGTACTAGCATCTGTCGGTGGGAGGGAGCAGTTAGAATCTGGATGCGGTCCTCTTGACTAGGAGATTATAGGAAACCCGGTCCGACAGTTCGTTGCCCGATGTCCAGGGTAGGAGGGAGGACAGAGAGGGTCGAGAGGATCAGAAGCAGAGGAGCAACTCGGGCGAGCGGAGGGGGGACAACGCACCTGTTCGGCCTCTTTTTGAGCATTGCGATTGTAGGGGTTTAAGGAGTCACGAAGACAGCAGGCCAGCTGCCTCAATGGCTCATCTTGAGGGTGCCAGTCCATGGTGTAGGCGCAAAGACAGGAGAAGGGCGAACAACGGCGGACGGGTTGGTGCGAAGAGGAAAAGCGCCGAGGGGGGGCGAGAGTGTGTGGATTTGCCTCGCTCAAGAAACCCCGCCGTTTCTTTCTTTTCCTTGGGCCTTGGGTCGGTCCTTGGGTCTGTCCGTCGGTCTTCCTCTGTCGGGGTGCTGGGAAGAGTTCACCCACCACGAAATATGATCAGAGAAAATCAAACGTAGGAGCTCTTTTCAAACCAAAGAGAACAGAAATGGAAGAACCGAAGAAAAGAATGGAAGAACCAAGGTGGCTGACAGGCAAAGAAAAGGAAAGGAAAACGAGTGTTCTAGGGTCGCCGTTCCGTACGGTATTCCTCAATACGAACAGGAAGAGCAGAAGAGAAAGAAGGAGACAAACCCAACAGGAACTCTGAATAAGGAGATAGAAAAAGGCCGTTTCAATAGAGTCTCTCCTCCTAACTTCCATCTCGTTCATGCATCCCATCCCGTCTTCTCCCTGGACCCTTTCTGGTGCATCTCTGCAGTCCCTGAGGGTAATACCAATCAATACCAAATACCAATACCCCCGGCCACTCGCCGCTTTATCGCCCTTGCCGCTTTACACTTACTACAAGACGCCCGACGGTGCTACAGAGACAGAGTAGATGCGGAGTAACAACAGACACAGAAGAAGACAGACAGCTTATGCTGGTGGTCGCTCTCAATTCGGTCTGAACGGTCAGAGATTTCGGCTGGTTGCGTTATCACTTCTCAGAGTGACGCTGCCCTATATGCTCGTCTTTGAGATGAGACCATTTTTCTCTCAACCTGTCCTCTCCAGGTCTCAAGGGTGCTTTCGAGTACTGGTGATCGTCTAGAAGCGAGCCTGTCTTACTCTTGCTCTGCAAAAGAGCAGAAACTGAAGGAGAGAAGGTCACGTGCGCCTGCTTGATGTCTTATGTGGCCTCAGGTGTCGAGATTCAGGCATCGATGACCGGAAAAAGACCCCTCGACGGTTGGAGAGTCCTCCATAAGTTCTGCGTGTTGATGGTTTTAGTTCTACTCGCGAACTTGTTAGTCGTCGGATAGTAGAAAGGACCTGTCTGCCTATCCACGCAGAATATATCTCCTATCTCCTTTCTGGTTACCATCTACAATTCCAATCAGTCAACCCCACTCGGTCGTTGAATACTGCACCATTGACCCCTATCCTGAGCGCAAAGAGGAATACTAAAGACCCTGAGACCAGCTAACATCTTTGATGATGATCGAACGATCAAGGACGCGCAACAGAATGCAGGAGATTAATAAACAGAAACGCACCATTCGGAGCCGTTAAGTTAACATCCGAGGATCCACTGGCAGCCTGATTGTGACACTAAAGTAGTCAGTCCCTGGTGGAGCCATCAAATGGCGATGCTTGATAGTCAACGCGAATGGACTACGACGTCTCTGCTAATTAATGGCTGACCAGACTGACAATGAATCAAACCATGCATCATTCCTCGTTGGTGGACGGCGGAACGTGCCTTTCCGGTCTCACGTGTCGCTGCTGCTTTCTCTTTTCTTCATCGCCGTTTTCTTTTCACATTCGCCTCTTTCCCAACCTGCCCACTCATTGAGTCCTGGGAATGATTACACCATGGACGTGCTTCTAGATGTACTCGACACCTGGTGTTTGACCGGTTTTACGCGACCATTCTCCCTCGACCTACTCCCAAATTCTTCGAGCATCCGTCTCTCGCCAACGGCACCGAATGGGACAATCTGAATCAGAACATTAACCGCTATGTCGAGATCACTCCATCCCAATGGGCCGTTCAAAGCAGTTGGCCGAGGGAGAATATCCTGCGGCAGGGGCTGAGTTTGTTTCTCATTGCATGGTACGCATTAACCTTTCGGATTCTGCAAAACATCGCGACTGATGGAAACTTTGGAATAGGGGCTTTGGAACCGTTCTATACTTCATCAGCGCAACCCTATCATTCTACCTCGTATACGACAAACGCGCCATGAAGCACCCGAAGTTCCTCCGCAACCAGATCCGTCTCGAGATCAAACAAGCCATGCTATCGATGCCCGGCATGGCCGTCCTGACCGCGCTGTGCTTCGTGGCCGAGGTGCGAGGGTACACCAAACTCTATGACTTCCCCGAGGAAGGTCCCTTTGCGCTCTATACCTATCTGCAGTACCCGCTTTTCATCGCCTTCACGGACTGCGGTATCTACTTTATCCACCGCGGCCTGCATCACCCGTGGGTTTACAAGCACCTGCACAAGGCGCATCACAAATGGATCGTGTCGACGCCGTTCGCCAGCTATGCCTTTCACCCGGTGGATGGGTTCAGTCAGAGTTTCCCGTATCATCTGTACCCCTTCATGTTTCCCCTTCAGAAGGTTGCCTACTTAGCCTTGTTTGTCTTTGTGACGATTTGGACCGTCATGATTCGTGAGTAACTCTTCGCTCCCCATGTCTTGTCCAGTTTGTGCTGATCAGAGTAGATGACGGAGAGTATGCCTTGAACTCGCCGGTGGTCAATGGGTCCGCGTGCCATACCATCCACCATTATTACTTCAACTACAACTACGGCCAGTTCACCACCCTGTGGGATCGCCTCGGCGGATACCGGAAGCCGAACCCCGAACTCTTTGACCGCGAGGAACGGCTGAAGAAGGACCAGATCGAAAAACAGATCCAGGAAATGGAAAGACTCGTCAAGGAAGTCGAAGGCGAAGACGACCGCTGCTACGAAATGGAAGCCAAGAAGACCCGGTAAGGCGACCTGATTTAACTCACTTAGTAATTAATGCTTAACTTCGACCAATGTACTGTATAGTATTAGCTTTTATTTAATTCAGAGATGTTTGGGTGGGTCAGGAAATAGTGATCGCGTAAGGAGTAGTGGAATGTTTAATCGCACTGCGACAGAAAATCAGGAGTTCGCCGGATGCCTCCCGGCGTTCTTGAAGGGTCAAGGGAGTATAACTTTGCGACTTCACCGCATGTCGTCGGAAGGCGCTGGACTTCCGCCCTCTCCACCACCGCGTCCATCCACTCCTACATAACCCTTCACAATTCCTGCCCGCTCATACGATCCCAGAAGGGACCGGACCTAGGTCCATCCCTGATAGGATTCGACTGTCTCCATAATTTCTGTCTCGAGAAGGCGTCGGTTCCAGACAGCTATAAATGCGCATTCTTTACACTCCTTCGAGCCTTTAACCACACGGAATTCTCGGACTCAGACTCGGACTAATTCTTCAATTCAATTGACATAGAGAGAGAGAGAGAGAATGCATTTCGCACGACGCGCTCACCGCGCCCTCTCTTCTCACTCGACGAGACAATTATCCACGCCCACCAAATCCGCATCCACCCCTTCCGGCCTCTCCATCAACTCGCCCCGACTATGGGATACACTTCACGAAACTTGCGAATGGGGATCTGCCCATCGCTACGGCGAGTTCGTTCCCTTGCCCTTCCTTATCCCTGCAAAATATTCCCCATATTCCCCAGTCTAGTCCTAAGATACTAATTACATGTCCAGAACACGTGAAGAAACCGGCATGGCGCGCCTCACGCTCACTGACCCCGACGCGCAAGTCCGTCGCTGGCTAGCCGACGAGGTCAAAAAGCTAGACTGCACTCTCGTCGTCGATCAGATGGGCAACATGTTTGCGCGACGGACAGGTCGACGTCGTTCGCAGGCTCCGATGACGGCCATGGGCAGTCATTTGGATACTCAGCCCCGAGGAGGTCGGTATGATGGGATCTTGGGTGTGATAGCTGCGTTGGAGGTTTTGAGGACGATGAATGAGAGTGGGTATGATACGGAGTTTGATGTTGGGTTGGTCAATTGGACGAAGTATGTCCCCTTTTCTCTTTTTTCTTTTCTTGCTGGATTGTCTGGTCTATTGGTCCAGGTATGAACTGGATAGATATGTACAATTGTATGGGTGGTGAAGTGTAGATGCTAACCAGTGAATGTGATGAACAGCGAAGAAGGCGCCCGATTTCCTAAGTCCATGTGCTCCTCTGGCGTCTGGGCCGGCGGCATCCCCATTCAAGCGGCCTGGGATCTGCGCGACATTCACAACCCGGCCGTGGCGCTGCGGTCCGAACTGGAGCGAACCGGCTGGCTTGGGGACGCGGCCTGCTCGCCGACTGGCGTGCCGCTAGGAGCGCACTTTGAGCTGCACATCGAACAGGGTCCGATTCTGCTCGAGACCGGGCGCTCGCTAGGCGTCGTCCAGGGGGCCCAAGGGTACCGGTGGCTTTCGGTCACGGTGCACGGGCGGGACGCGCACACGGGGACGACACCGCTCAGCGCGCGGAAGGATCCGCTGCTCGCGGCGTCGAAGATGATCGCTGCGTCGAATGCGGTGGCGCAGAGACATGGCGCGTTGGCGTCTACGGGGGTGATCAAGACGCCGGCGAATGCATCCACGAACACGGTTGCGTCGCAGGTTGACTTCACCTTGGATATTCGTCATCCGCAGGACAGTGTGGTTGAGGCCGTGCAGAGGGGGTGTCTCGAGGCGTTCGATGAGATCGCGACGCAGGATGGTAAAGGCGTCTCGTTTGACTGGAAGCTGGACACGGATTCAGCGGCCGTGCAGTTCGATAGTGACTGCACCCGGGCGATCCAGAAAGCTGCTGACGCGCTGGTCGGACCGCAGCAGTGGATGAATATGGTCAGCGGTGCTGGACATGATAGCGTGTATACGAGTCGGCATTGTCCCACGGCGATGATCTTTGTGCCGTGTCGCGACGGAGTCAGTCATCACCCGGAGGAGCATTGTAGTCAGGATGATTGGTAAGTTCTCCTTGGTTGATGTCTTGTATCAGATGGGATTGCTAATTTGAGATAGTGCTTTGGGAGCTCAGGCTCTGCTGGAGTCAGTGGTCAACTATGACCAGTTGCGGGCCGAGAGAGAGTGATATATAGTGAATTGGGGTGGTAGGGAAGTATCAAACGTTGTAGATTGAAGGTCCCGGGGTAGTGGGCAAAAGTAAAACTAATACGGAGCTTGTTATATTTGCTTTTATTTCTTATTGTAAATAGACTCTTAAAAAAGAACCGTGGCGATGAATCGATTGATCCTGTACATGTAGGCCTTCTAGATGCCTCAGGTGTAACTGCCAAGCCATGGCCATTTTATGTCTGCAACACCATGGAAGACTCTTTCTTCCTACATCCATCTCACCCATCTCATCATCACTACAATCAGAACACTCGACTCAGACATCTAAATTGCTCATTTCGTGATGATCCTTGATGACTGCGGTGTCCGCCCCACACCTAGAACGTCTACCAGATTCCCTCGGACTAGATGGATATATCCCTCCCAACATATTCATTACATCCAAAGAAAAAGATGACAAAAACGGACCAATGCTTATATTCAATATTCCCTCTTATTGAAAGTCGTCTCTGAAGAACCAAGACAAAATGAATGGTTCGCATAAAAAAATACTAAACCCCCACGACATCCACCGTCCCCACCCTGTCGTCGGAAGGCGCACCGAATGTCCTCGGAGGGCTCGACGAGATTGGTAGTTGAAACCAGTTGATAACCGGCCTCTTCTGCCCTTATCAAATACCCAGAAATATCCCGCTTGAGTTCCCTGTGCCTCCTACCCCTCTAAACAACATTATCATCCCCCCCCCCTTTGAGGCCGATACAGCCAGCAGCAATATGTCCGCCCGTCGCCCGATCTACATCAACCCCGCGGCCGGCCCTCTGCGCCGCCATGAGGCGTCCCGACAAACCCATGACGTGCGCGAATTCCACAAGTCTTTACCTGACTATGCGCCCTCCCCGCTAGTCCCGTTGCCCTCGCTGGCGCAGGAACTCGGCGTTCGCGCCGTCTTCGTCAAAGACGAAAGCAACCGGTTCAGACTCCCATCGTTCAAAGTCCTCGGTGCCTCGTGGGGCTGCTATCGCGCAATTGCGCAAGTTCTGGGCCTCGAGCCGACGGTCGGGGTGAGCGGGTTGAAGGTTGCGTTGGCGGGGAAGGAAGTCTCGGTGTTTGCGGCCACAGAGGGGAATCATGGTCGGGCGGTTGCGTTCATGGCGAAGCTGTTGGGGATTCCAGCGAGCATCTTCGTGTCGAGCAGTATGGCGGAACGCACGAGGGAGTTGATTGCGAGTGAAGGGGCGACCGTGCAGGTTGTGGACGGGTGTTATGATGCGGCGGTCATGGAGGCGGATTCTGCGGCGAAGGCCACGCCTGGGGGTGTCCTGGTGCAGGACACGGCGTTCGAGGGCTACGAGGATGTCCCGGCTTGGATTGTCGAGGGGTATTCGACGTTGATGGCGGAGGTGGATGAGCAGTTGGCGGACCAGGCGCTGCGATGTGATCTGATGATTACCCCCGTGGGTGTTGGGAGTCTGGCGCATGCGGTGACGAGGCACTGTAAAGAGCGCGAGGATGGGCCGATCTCGGTGGTGGCCGTGGAGCCGGACACGGCGCCTTGTCTGTATGCGAGTCTGAAAGCCGAGAGGGAAGTCACTGTGACGACGTCCGCGACGATCATGAATGGCATGAACTGCGGGACAGTGTCGACTACCGCGTGGCCGGACTTGCAACGCGGTGTGGATGCCTCGGTCACCGTTTCGTCGTTTGAGACGCACTGCGCGCTGGAGTATTTGTCGGCGCGCTCGGTGACGGCGGGACCGTGCGGTGGTGCGTCGCTGGCCGCGTTGCGACGGTTGCGTCAGGTGCCAGAGGCCAGTTCATTGTTGAAAAAGGACTCTGTTCTGGTTCTACTGAGCACCGAAGGAGCTCGACCGTATCCCATCCCGAGGGACCTTTCGGTGGATGATTCCGTCGGTCTCACCCAGGCTCTCACGCAGATCAACTCCTCCAACCCATCCCTGTCCGTGACGGACGGAGTCGGCGAGACGGGTATCGCAGATTATCTGGCCGAGTGGTTCGCGTACCGCGACATTGAGCATCACCGACTGGAAACAGTGTCCGGACGGCCATCGATTGTGGGTGTCCTGCGTGGCACCGGTGGCGGCAGATCTCTTATGTTCAACGGCCACGTCGACACCGTCAGTCTTTCCACCTACGAGAAGGACCCTCTTTCCGGGGGGTTAGGTGAACGAAACGGCCAGCCCGTCGTGCTGGGCCGCGGCAGTCTCGACATGAAGGGCGGTCTCGCAGCCGCCATGGCCTCAGTATCTAGCATCAAAGCCAGCGGAGAAATTCCCCACGGGGACGTGATCATCGCGGCCGTCTCCGACGAAGAAGACGCCTCGCAAGGCACGCGCGATCTTATCGCTGCAGGCTGGCGCGCCGACGCCGCCGTCATCATGGAACCCACCATGGGCGAGATCATCACAGCACATAAGGGCTTCCTCTGGGTCGAGATCGACATCCTTGGCGTCGCCGCACACGGATCCGATCCCGCCAGCGGCGAAGACGCCATCCTCTCCGCGGGCTGGTTCCTGCGCGCTCTCGAGCAATACCAGAGCCAGCTACCTGTCGACGACACACTAGGCCAAGCCTCCCTACACTGCGGACTGATCCAAGGCGGCGAAGAACCGTCTTCCTACCCAGCCAAATGCACCATCACGGTCGAATTCCGAACCGTCCCCTCCCAAACGGGAGAATCCATCCTCAACGACCTATCCCAACTCTTGAAGGGGATCAGTCACGAGAACCCCCGTTTCCGGTCCTCAGAACCGCGCATCACGATGTCTCGTCCGATGCAGAAGTTGCCGAATGATCATCCCTTTGTCACACAGGCCGTCAAGTGGGCAGGCTCGGTGCTAGGTGAATCTCCAAAGCTGGTATCGGGTTCGTTCTGGTGTGATGCTGCCTTCTTGACCGATGCTGGGGTTCCGTCCATCGTGTATGGACCTAAGGGTCAGGGGTTGCATGGGAAGGAGGAGTGGGTGGAGGTGGGGAGCCTACGACAGATGGAGGGGGTTTATACGCGGTTTATTCGGGAATTTTGTCAATGAGATGAGATGGTGAGTTAGATGGTTTGAGATGACGCGATGTATATATGTAGCATGACTGAATAAGACACGGACTGCCCATGAACATGAACATGAACATCAAAAAACAAAGCAACCAACGAAAATAGACTTGTTACTAGGGCATCAGGAAGATCGAAAGATGCAAGCTAGACGGAATAACTAGGGTAGATAGGTAGAAAGAACGGTAGAAACTACTGCGAATGCAAGAAAGGCCAGCTTTCTGACCGCAATACCATTACCTAGCTACTAGACCTTGCAACATCAGACATCAGACATTCATCTTTTCTCCATCCTTCCATTGTATCACCATCCAATCTAGAGTCCTTTTTCATAAACATAAAAGACAACCGCCTAACTTCACGTGAAGAGAAGAAGAAGCCTCCCCTTTCAGTAATAGTTACATGCAAAGATAATAAAGTACCTAAGAGAAAGTCCGATGCTTGAAGCCTGAAGCCTTAGGACCAGTTTGTCCTATCAGCCGAGTACCAAATAGAATACCGAATATCGAATACCTAATGCCGAAAACGCCTATGCACCGAGTCCGAAGTACCTGTGAGGTAGTAATGTATGAAGTAGAGTACCTTAGTTCGTGGTACCGGGTTGTTCAGAGGGAAGGAAATTAAGGAGAGAGAAAGAAAGAAAGAGAGATTAAGTGGAAGCCCATTCGACGACTTCCAATGCACACATGACAAGAATGAGAGTAGAGGGCAAGATCCTAAAGACATCGGTTAGTGATCGGGAGTGATGGATGAAGTGCAGTGTAGACGGGGAAACATACCACACAACGTAGCTTTGGAATAATAATTTCGACATAGCGCCGACAAAAACGTTGTTGATCTGACAGATCTGCGCCAGCTGCAGCGCCGACGGCGCGCCCGTGAGCAGGAAGCAGACAATGATGAAAATCGGATCGTCCAAGATGCTGACAGGGACGTATTTGGCCAGGAGAGCGAGCAACGGGGCCATGAAGAGAGTCGGAAGCAGCATGCGCGCTACCAGGGACGCGATGATCAGCTTGCGCTCCTCACCGGGTTCCTCCATATCCTCCATGGCCTCCTTGGGCAAGGTGTTTCGCTCCAGGTTGGCGCCGAGAACCACGAGAATCAACGGCACCGCGACCTGTCCGTTCTGGTTGATGGCGCGAGTGACCGAGTTCTGCACAAAGGTACCCTCCTCGAAGAAGAGCTTCTGCAGTGCCGGGACGGACGCGACCACGATGGCCACGAGCATTGCCCAGAGAGGCGGGTTCATGAACCCCCACGCTCCACGGAAAAACTTCCGCGTCCACATGCAGACAAGCGAGATGACCTTCTGCAGCCGCGTGGGGAGTTTCTGAAACGCCTTGCCGGTCGCCGTCTCCCAACCGCCGGCGACGCGACCGCCGAGACGGCGCGTGGAGGTCCGCACGCGCGAGATCACCCCCGTCTTGGACTGGTCATCCTCAGAGGGCAGTTCGACGTTGGGGAAGCAGAGAATATCGCCGTGGGTGCTCTGTCGGGGCAGGAAATCCCCACGTGGCGGGGCCCCAAGCAGGCGAGGGTGTTCCTCGTGGGTAGACTCGTGCGCTGGCAGTTTGGTATACGAGTAAGTGCGCGGGTTGACCGGGGTTTGGTCGCCGGAGCGAAACTCGTTCGTCTCGTCATCGTCGCCCGTCGACGAGCCGCTCAGCAAATCCTCCGAGCTTCGAGTTCTGATGAGCGGTTCGTCGGGATCGATTTGCTCCGGGTTGTCGGTGTATCGCGCCTGACCTTGCTCGACACGAGTGGGCCCTTCCTCCCTCTCGGCTTCTTCAAGGTATCGTTCACGGGGAGCGAGAAGGACGTGGTATCCCCAGCTCCAGCGGACCAGCTGGCCCAGTTGCTGGAAGATTAACAGGTAAAGAATTCCTCGGGCTGCCACTTCGTCGTCGTTGTCGTTGGGTACCCGATCCCAGTGCAGACCTTTCAACGTCTGCGATAAGGACATGACCAGGGAGATCGGAAGCGAGTTCGAGTTGCCAAACACCTGCAAGGCCGGTCAGTAACCTGTTTCAACCATTGACCGACATTTCACATTGTTCCGGGGACTCACCGCCATGGCCGTGAGGAAGTTGGCCGCCCGTTTCTTGAAGCGGAAACATCGGGCTACCACGAATGCGCAGAGATAGGAAATAAAGGTTTGCACGACGAAGATCACGGGAATGATGGCGAGGTCGGTGAGTTTATCAGCCGTCAATTGGGAGCCGAGCTTGGTGAAGACTGCAAGGGACGTCGATTAGCCAAAGTTTCTTTGAAGTATGGAGGGGAAAAATAGATAAAGGAAGACATACTCAGGCACGGCGTGAAAAGAGTGACGTTCAGATTGGCAACCAGTTTCTGCGCATCGGCATCGAACAAGCCCTGTCGAGCTGCGATGTAGCCGGGCAGACTGACGCAGATGACTTCCAGGACGGCCTCGAAGACCAGGAGGATGAGGTTCAAGAAGGAAGGATGACTGGAATGAGGGACATTTTGGAGGAGACCGGGCGAGATGCCCATTTCGGACTGCGTCATGAGCTGACGAGGCACCAGGGAGGAGAGGTGGGCATTTTGAAAGGACCTGGGAGCACTAAAAATGGCCATGAGACAAGGGAGGTGGTTTTCCGGACGGTGTATGAAGGAGTGAAGGGAAAAAATCGAGCTGTAGAGGCGCAGAAGATGCGAATGGCATGGAAACCGCGTGAACCGAAATAAGGTTGGATCTGGGGGAAGGTTGGGCGGAAGGAGAGGGACTGAGAGTACTGAGTAGTAAGGGAGTGGGCGAGAACAAAAGAAAAGAACAGAGTGAGCGAGGCGGTGCTGAAGAGTTTAGTTCACGGTGACCTTACAGGACGAAGAATGATGATGGCGACATGTTGCAAACCAACGCTCCGATAGGCGCGTGGGTGAACTGCCAAGGCGGCGTCCAAGATTCGCTTATCTCCTTTACATTTCTCTCTTCCCTTTCATTTCCTCTTCATATTCTCCGTTACGCAAACCTAGAATCGCCAGTGTTACTTCCACTTGATAATAGCAGTGTCAGCAAAAGCTGCCTCTCCGCCATCTGCCTCCGCCGACCACCTCCGACCGATCCTCCCGTCGCAATGGTTCGCGGTGAACAGTATCCCGCTTGGCATTTCGGCAAGGGGTGCGACCAAGATAGCGATCCCGATGATGTGATATGGACGGTGATATCATGACCGAGCCGTGATAAAAGTGCGCTGTCTCCGCACTTGTCATTCCCATATCTTGGCCATTGCCACTAGCATCGCCGGGTTGACGCCAGATTGCGTACGAGGGAATCCATCCTGGATGACGCCATGGTGGACTCATCCCGACCGCGGCGCATCCACTCACCGTGCAGGATCCAGCATCCTGGGCCGCTTGTTTACCTGGTCAGAACTACTACATTTGCTGTTCCGTGTATCGCCCCGGATTTTGAATTCGTTGCAGGTCTCAGGTCACTCGGTCGTCTCAGTAGGGCCTTGCTTGCAGGCGACGAAACTTTACTCCGCGACTCTGGACCTCTCATGGGACTGGTTCTCCCCGGATGCGTCCTGTCTTTGACCGGTGCTTGAAGGTTTACGTTCCACAACGGTTGGGTAGCGTCTAGAATCACCTACTGGGATTCTTGATTGACAGTGCTCTACAGTAGAGGAGCATGGAAGAGAAAAGTCTATTTCGACGGACTTCTGCACGGATTGACATGTCCTTTAGAATATCGCTGCACATCTGTCCCCAGCACATAGTTAAAAACTATATTTAGAGAATTTAGAGAGTGAAGGCTGCCTCCACAGCGAACAAGAAGAGATAGGCCAACGGCTCCTATCCAATCCGAGGCAGAAGACATGCCAATCAAGTACTTTTGTGCCACACGTGCAACGACAACGCTATTAGTCTACTATGGCCGTGTAATGCAGCAGCGTGTAGATCATTGATTTGATCAGTCTGCCCGACTGACGATGACTTCATCGGGCCCAATGATATCAGCCCACACGCAACGGAGGCAAGCCCTTCAGCGCTACCCCAGACCGGCGGACCGGGGAAGCCTGTATCTTATTGACGGAGGGTTGTTTGCTTGATGCTGTCCCAGATTGCGCGTCCGGTCTGTCTCATTGGAAACACTACTCCGTCCTAGTATCAAGAATCAACTGATCGCAGTGCCAGATTATCGGCCTTCGTCCCGTCGGTCATTCCCCTTTGCTAGCCCCATCCCGTAATTCCGCGCGACCCCGGCGTCAGGGCCCCGAGGTTATTTTGTCTTTGGGGGACTTTCATTGGCGGAAGCATCGTGGAAAAGTGAAACGTTGTCTGACGGACTGAACGGACTGACTGGTGGTGGCAACAGTTGCCACTCTTTCGTGGAGTGGAAGGCAGAAGCAACGCATTCCGCCGTGGCTGAGACGCTCGCCGGCTGACTCAGCGTCGGGCAGCTGCTGCCTGGGGCCTGCCATTGGTCGGCGTCGCGTCCGGATCATCCTTGATGTTAAATTTTAATTGGCATTTTCATACTGTGGCTCAGGATATTTAATTTAATTTTGAGGATCGTTCTTCCTCCTCGAATGGATGATGGTCATGATGATGGATGGTCCAAACGGCAGCGAATACCATTAATGAATGCATGACTGAGGCAGCAAATCGTGTTGCCTCCCGCCCTGCGCTTTTTTCCCTCAATTCTGCCCTTTTTTCCTTATCTCTTCAACGCCCGACTGACTTCTTCTTCCCCCCCCCCACTTCTTCTTGTTCTCTCCTCGTGTTTCTTGTGCTGTTCTTCTTCCTTCTTTTTCGTCCCCTTTCTCATTTGTACTTGTTTATTCGATATTGTCTATCCCCTTAAAAGATCGTTCCTTCGGCCTGGGACTCTCGACTGAGCGTCCTCTTCCCCCTCCTCTTTCTGATTTTCCGATGGCTTGATTCCGTGTCCCACGCCTATAATTACACCTTCGTCGTTTCTCCACTGCTTCCGGGACAACCTGACCGGAAGAA